TCATGACATATATTTTTTGAGGGGGGTGTGTGTGTGTGTGTGTGTGTGTGTGTGTGTGTGTGTGTGTTTACTGTTTTCTATTTTTCTAGAAATATACAAGTATTCCTTTTGTTTACACCTCAACACAGTTCAAAGCAGCTTACACACATTATTTAATACTCACCAACCGACATATGAGGTAGAGATTGATATACCCATTTTGTAGATGAAGATACTGAGAGTAAGAGTGGAAGTGACTTGCCAAGTGGCTAGGGAGGAGCTGAAACTCAAACTCATGCCATCCACCTACGGGATGTTTATTTCACTGCATGGTTCTGCCGCAGCGACATGCAGTGGAAGGCGTGACTCTCGGCCTCAAGGAGCTTTTAATCTAACCAGGAGGGAAGTTTGTTGATCACAACATAACCCATGAGCAAGCAGCTGGAGAAAGATGAGTCAAAGGGGGTTGGGGACTGGGGCGGGGAAGTGACTCTTCCACCTTTTGTTGGAATGCATGTATAAATAAAGTAAAAAAGGTCAATGTTAGAAGTAAGAGGAAAAAAGATAAATGCATTACGAATGGACAGAGAACAGAATTGCAAAACATATGCCTGTCAAGTTGTAGGCAATGAACACAGAAAGCCCTGAGTGATGCAAGCAGAGAAAGACCCGCTTAGGCTTCTTGGTAGCTCTGCCCCACTGTTGGGCTGTCATGGGATCAGTAATGCCACCCACAGTGAATGGCTGCCCTTGAACCCAATACCATTTTCAGTGTCTGTCCGCCACATCTACAGTTGTCTGACCTAAAAAGTCTAATGGTTGAGCCATAGGTGATATGTCAAGACAGGCACCAGAGCCTTCTAGAACAGTTCAAGTTCCTAGGTCCTAAGAACAGAAGGGTAGGGAAAAATGCATATAATGTTTACGGAGCACTAAGGGATCCGTAGCAGGTGGCTCACATACAAGAACGCTGTAAGCCATGTCAATGTCACCTCACCTCCCTTTTATAGATGAGGCTCAGAGAAGCCAAACCTTGCACAGGTCACAGCACTAATAAATGCAGATTGGAGCTGGGTATAAATCTAGGCCTGCCCCCACTGTACCCTACTGTCTCCCAGGAAAACACTGTGGGAGGCGGTGACCTACCTGTTCTGCTAGATGAATGAAGGATAACGTAAGTGCAGCAAATGCAAATACTCTGGTATGCCAGAAGCACACATTTTACTGGAGACTGGAATTCACTGTAGGCTTCTCTGCTCCAAGCCAGACACTGTGGAGTCATTCTCCTCTCCTTCCTTTTTCTTATTCCCACTCCTCAGTCCCTATAAATCCACGCTTAACTCTGGGGACAACACTTTCCCATATTGTCATATAAATCCACACCATCTTCTCTCTTCATTGCTAAAGTTTAGGCCGCCACCATCTCTTGCCTAGCCTGGTAACCACCGGTCCAGACCCTACCCCAGTGCATTTTCCACACTATAGTCAGATCATGCCAAAATCCTCTGCTTAAAAACCTTCATTAGAAGGGCATCTATCAAACACCTATAGCTAATATACTTAATGGGAAAGATTGAATGTTTTAAGTCAGAACAAGGCAAGGATGTCCACTCTCACCACTTCTATTCAATATTGTACTGAAGGTTCCACTTAGTGCAATTAGACAAAAAAAAAAAAAGTGTTTCTTTAAATCAAAGACAACTAGATTGGAAAAAAAAAAATACCTAAAACGGTTTTTATTCACGGATATTAAAAAAAAAACTATTAGAACTATTAATAATATAATAAGTTCAGCTAGGTCACAGGATACATGATCAGTATATAAAAATTAATTATATTTCTATGTATTAGCAATGAATAATCTAAAAGTAAAATTAAATTAAAAATAATTCTATTCATGACAGCATCAAAAAGAATAAAAATCTTAAGAGAAAATTCCAGTTCCAATTCAAGATGGAAAGGCAAGACAACATGGTAAGCTGCCCTTCAACCTGACCCCCTACATTCTCATGAAAATAACTTCAGGCATATAAAAAGAGAAAATATATGTGTTCATATTGGAAACTAGGAGAAAGAGACAGACACTGACATGCTACAAACACTAAGGAATTTCTATAAGATCCAATGCCAGTAAGACTCAACTAAGAAAAAGGCTAACTAGACAAGATGTTGACAGAAAAATACAGTTTAAAATGTGTTCTGAAGAAGTAACTTGAACCACTAATAGAATAAAAGTCACAGAAAAGGCTAAGATGACTTGTACCTGAAGATAGAGAAAAGGAAATGATAGTTAAGAAAGCTTAAAAACAGATAGTATTAAATATTATACAAAAGAACGAATATATCAGTTATCACCAAAAAAAAAAAAAAAAAAGTTGAATGAATGAAACTTTCTTGTTAAAGAATAAAGACTCTCAGGAAAAATTTAAAAATCCAATTATATGTTGTACTAAGAGATACACTTAAAACAATGACATAGAAATATTAAAAACAGAGCCACTGGCAAAGGTAAACTCAATAAATACAACCCTAAAAGAAAACGAAGGTGGTAATATTACTATCAGAGTAGAAATTAAGGCAAATTGGGGGTAAAGATAACTTTTATATTGAAAAAATATATAATTCACCCTGAAGATCGGAAGTTTAAAAATATTTACAAGTTGAAGAATATAGCAACAAAATACATTTTTTTAAAACTTAGAAATAAAAGGAGAAATTGACCAAAAAATAAATAGTGCAAATGTAAAAATAATACACTGCTTATCCTTGACAAATATTTGGACAGTAAATATGAAATTAGAAAAATTAAATAATATTAATAACATGATATTTTTTTTTTACCCTTTGACGACAGAATATATATTTTCAAATACTCAGAATATTTACAAAAAAAAAATTATCACATACTATGGGGAAAAAAGTCAACAAATTCTTCAAAGTGGAAATCATAATCTGATCATAATGCAACACAACCAGATAATAATTTTTTTAGAATAAAAAAAGTACTGGGAAATTTGAGGGAAAAAACCCTAGAGTCAAGGAAGGAACAAAACTGCAATTAATTGAGACTCTTTCTACAATAATGACTATCCATCAAAATTAATGGGATGCGGTCAGAGTTGTACTTAGGAGAAAGTGCCTCTTAATGTTTTTATTATCAAAGAAAAAAATAATGAAACTAATTCGATTCATGAAATCAGCAAAAGCAAAACCAGCCTAAGGTGAGTGGGGAAAAAAGAATGGATAAAGATAAAAGCAGAAACCAATAAGTTAGATAACAGGGAAAGAATAAAATTGATAGCTCTAGAGTTGGAACTTCAAAAAGACTAATAAAATAGGCAAGACTAAGTGAGTAAAAATAAAGAAACACTATACACAGGAACAGACATGAGAAAAAAGGATGCGATCCCAGGTACTGTGGTGATAGAAACGTTACATGGGAAAACTATATACAATTCTACGCTGATACCCTCGGCAATCTCCACAAAATGGATGATTTCCTACACAAACATGTATGTAGAAACTGATTCATGAGTGAGAAGGAAATCTGAGTAGACTAATAACCATGAAAGGACATAAAAAAATTCACAAAGACCCAAGGGTCTCCACCAAACACACACTTGCTATTCCCCCGCATACCCAAAGAAGTGTGGTTACAAAACCTTCGAGAAGCACAGATTCCGATGCTACGTGGACAATCTTCTGGGGTCATTTCCACTCCTAGTGTCATCCAAGGTGTGCGCTCCTCTGCTCTAGGAGTGCTAAGAGGGACAGCACTCTTCTCCTGAGCCTGCATGCCCTCGGCTACTGCTGAAATGAACTTCAATGAACAGATAGGGAAGATGACGGAGAAGAAACCAAAGCAGGGATTGATCTAGTGAAGGTACAAATCCTGGGAGTCAGAAAACAGAGATCTGACCACACGTGTGGACTCTGCCTTCACAGCAAGGAAAGCTGGAGTCACTCCAGTTGGCGGAATTGGAGAGTTTGCCTCCAGCCGTTCGCACCTCAACCAAGCATGCCATGACCCTGATCTAACTTTTATCCTTCAACATTCATTCGACACTCATTAAAAGTCTATGAAGGTGCTCTACACGGTGTCACCGGAGCTCAACATCTGATGATGAGGACTCACTCCCTACGACCTCACCCAGTCACCCAGTCTCAAGGCTTGCAATGGAACATGGCAGGCCATGTCAACAAGACTTGAGGATTATGACTCTGAGGCCTTTATACTTGCCCCAGAAAAGTCTGTCCTTTCTGCAGAGGCGGCGGCATCCATCTCTGTTTCCCTTCCCCATGTGCACCCCTCTTTGGGAGATACAGCTCAGGGGTACAGGAAAGCAGTCTCACCCTCTCCACACTCTTCTCTTTCATCAACTGCAATGAGGTGTGAGAGAGTGGGAACTTCCCCAAGTTCCTGATTCTACACCTACAGTCAAGGCCACGCAATGCAAAGCAAATACGAACAAAGTATTGATGGTTTTCAAGTATAGGATAAAAAACAGCCTTCAACTCCTATCTGCTGGGTCCAAGAGGAGAAAATATATTTCTGTGTCTGCAAAGAATATACACCAACATATATATACACATATACCCATATGCAGGCAAAATTAGTTTCAAAAGAAAGACTCAAATTTCTCGATATCCCTTTTAAGTCTTCTGTCGAGTCTTCCCAAATGCCCTATTCATCAACCCTGCCTATCGGGTACTTTTAAGCAGGAGAAAGGAACTAGGAAACATAAAGAAAGCAGAGTAGTTGAGGGCGGGCTTCATAAAAATACGTTTCTGTTGATGACCATAAACCTTTCACCCCGGTAGGTTCTTCCTTTCAGAAAGCTTGGCTCAGCACACAGCTATCTGCTATGGGGAAGAGGGCAGGTGGTACCTGGTTCGCAGGTTCTCTGGTTGGGGTGGGCCATCAAACACCGACAGGACATCGAAGTCCTCTTCCAGAGCGAAGGACTGGAAGACGAGCTGGATCCTGTGCTGGTCCTCCGCAGTGATGGTCCACGTGCAGTTGGCATAGTTGGGGTAGCCGTACGGGAACCCTGGGCTCTCAACTGTCCCATTGGGACCCTGCAGTTGGAACGTGCAGTTCTGGCCTGGGAGAGAGAAAGGAGAAGAACTGTTAGATGCTTCCAGAGATACAGGAGTAATGTGTTAAGGAATCGCAAACTCGCTCTTCCCTGTGCTTCCTCTGGGCCAGTCTCATGCGTGGCACAGAGGGAGGGAAGATGGACGACAGACACTGAGTTCAAGCATGTTTGCCGTGCACTGTCCGGGTGATAAAATGCGCATTGTCGTAGTCCAGCCTCAGAAGCACTCTGCGAGGCAGGACACTAAGGCTCAGAGTGGGAACTAGAAGGCAACCAGAACAGAAGGAATTCGGGCTTTCATTTCATATCAGATACCAGAATGACTATTTCGAACCTTGTCCATCTTCTACAGCCTCCCGACTCTCTAGACTCCTCCTCTCAGCTGCTGCCCTCTCTCACTCTCCATAGAAAATAAAAGCCCTCAGTGGGGATCCCTTGTCTTCCCAGTTCCAAACCCATCCAGGCTGCTCACGCTGTCTTTCTTCGTCCTACAGAGGAAGCATCTCCCCTTCTATCTAAACATAACACTTCCATGTGCCCTTTGGATCTCATTTCTCCCTCCTCTTCAAGAACCTTATCTAGGTTTCTCTCTTATGTATGTTACATATGTTTAATCATTTCCTCTCCACTAGAACCTTCCCATTTTAAATGTGCTCAAGACTCTTATCGTTAAGAAAACAATTCCCCATTCCACTCATCTCCCTCTAGCCTCGTCTGTCTTCCCCTTCACAGACAAATTTCTACAAAGCACAATCTCTCTATAATTTTTGTTGCCATTTCCTTACTTCCCACTCACTCTTCAGCTCTGTCACTTCTGCCTTCTGGTCCCACTGACCCACCTAAACAGGTCTAAAATCACTGATGGGTCCAGTGCATATTCTTCAGTCTTCCTTTTGACAGAGCTCTGTCTCAGCTGCCTCTAACACTGCTGCTCATACACACCCTCCTGGAAACACTTCTTCACTGTGCATGTACATCACCTGGGGACCCCACTAAACATAGATTGTGAGTGGGGCCAGAGCATCTGCTCCTCTCACTCCTCAGTGATGCAATGATACTATCACTCGTGGACCTTCTTTGTTTTTTAATAACGAAAAATGACTAAACATCTGCAAGGGTCTCTGCATGGTCTGGCCCCTAATGACCTCTTAGCCTTGTGTCCACTAGCTTTCCAATCAAGCTCCACCCATCTTAGTCCTTTGTTCCTGCCATACTTTCTTACCGCATAGCCACAGGACCTTTGCACATGCTGTTTTCTCTCTGCTTAGAACATTCTTCCCTCCCTTCTTGGCATATTAAGTTTACAGATCTCAGTCAAGTGTCTCTCCTCTACTAGGTCAAACCCCTTATTATGTGCGCTCATAACACCATAACTTCTCCTTGGTAGTATCCATCATAGAAGCAAATTTCCACGCTTCCATGTGATTATTTTATAAACATGTCTTCTTGCCAGGCTGTAAGCTTCACAAGAAGACAGACCATATGTGAGTATTTCCATTTTTGAAATATTAATCAATATTTCAAATTTTAATCAAATCCATTTTAATCAAACACACCAAGCTCAGTACCAGGCACGTGGTAAGTTCTCAATAATTTAACATATTGCTTATATTTAGTGTGTTTGATTAAACACTCTTCTGAGAACTTCACATATACTGACTTGTTTAATCCTCACAACAGCCCTAGTAGGTGGATACTGTCAATATCATCTCCATTTTACAGATGAAGAATTAAGGCAAAGAGAAATTAAGGAAAGGGACCCAAGTCACACCATTGCTCACAAACGGAGATTTGAATGTAAGCAATCCACTTCAGATCCACCGTCTTAACTACGACGCTGATAAACTGACTCGATGCTAATTTTTTTTTAAGCCCACTTTAGGGATTAACTGACAAAGGGCAGTTAATCCCTAAAATGACTTTAATATTAAAAAAATGTCTTAACATAGAGCATCCCATTAAAAGAGAAAAAAGTAAAGGTCTTCTGAATAAATGCCAAATGGGCATTTAATAAAATTAGACATGTAAATCTGATTAAAATAAGTATTTGGGACTAGGAAAAAGACTATTTCCTTAACCATGATAAAGCATCCATTTTAGAACAATTACCTACATCATACTTATGGTGAAACACCTGATTAAGATCAGGAACGAGGCAGAAATGCTACTATCACCTCTGAGATTTCACGCCTTATTGGAAGAGCTAGCCTATGCAACGCAAGCCAAAAACAAATGAGGAAGAAGCAAGCGAAAATATGGTTTGCAGATGATATGTTAATATACCCAGAAAACCCAAGAGAATCAATTATAAAGCTATTAGAATTAACAAGAAATTTCAGTGAAGTAGCCATATGCAAAATAAATATACGAAACCAATAACATTTCTGTATGCCAGTGACAGGTAAAAATATAAAGAAAATAGGTTTTGTTTACGATAACTACAAAATGCATGTAATAAACAGACCTAAATTTAATAAGTAAGGTGCAGGCGCTGTATGAAAATAACTTTTATAGAGGGATAGAATGTTTGAATAATTGGAGAGACAGAGCATAACCTTGAGTGGAAAGACTAACTACTGAAAGGTTAATTTAGAATATTAACCTTTTGAAAAGTTATTGAAAAGTTAATTTACAAGCTTAATGCAATTCTGATCAAAAGCCCGATGACCTGTTTTAGATTTAGTAAAATAGTACCTAAGTTTAACTAGAAAAATACGCAGTTACAGGCAAGGCGAATTTTTTAAAAGGTTGTAAATGCGGCATTCTTATTTTACTAAATAAGCTACTAAATGGAATCACCAAATGATGCTCATGAAAATGGTGTGGAGGTGGTCCAGGAGTGGACAGGCAGAACATGAAACACTATTACAGGAATAGCTTTGCTATACATAAAATTGAAATATGTGTAATATGACATTAAAAAATCAATGAGAAAAGAAAAATTTTTTTGCAGGGTCCACTAGGTAACTGTTTGGGGAAAAGAATTATATTCTCAGCTCACATCAAATACTAAAATAAATTCCAGATAGAATAAAGAGTTAGAAGTTTAAAAGAAATCAAGACGAAAAATAATTGGAAGAAAATACAGGCAAATAATTATCTGTGATTTTCTGAACATAAAAGCTGTGGAAGATACTACAAGATTGATATAGAGGCTACCACAAGGTTGACAGTATTACACAGAAAGTATTTATAGTTGAATGCCAAAAAACAGAATCAAAACCAAAAGGCATACAAAAATATTAGGTAGAGAAGTAATATTCTTCATATAGAAAGAACTTTTACTAATGGATAGGAAAACAAGAAGCACTATAAATGAAAAATTGGACAGAGTCTTGAACAAGTTAGTTCACAAAAGAAGACCTAAGTGTTCCAGAAACCAAAAAAAAATATTCAACCACAATAACAATGAAATAGAGCTTCCACGTTCACAGCTTTCAAAGGGACCCCCTAGTTCATGTCCCTAAACTTTCCTTCACTGGCAGTGGCACCAGATCTACTTGGCTCATGCTCTGAAATCTGCCTGGTGTTGTCATTATATCATGTCATTCATTTATTCATTCATTCATTCATTTATTCCTCTAGGTTAGACCCTGTGATGGGCCACGGGGCTCATATCATAGACCAGACATATGCAAATACATCCACACAGCAGTACCCTGCTAAATGGGATCCTAGAGTATGGATCCCACAGGAGCCACACGTTAAGGGCTACCTTCATTCATGTCCTGGGCAACCACTGATACCAACATTCAGCATCTCACTCCAGCATCCCATATTGCTGCCTGGGCTCAAATCAGCACAAAACTGCAGTTTCTAGTTCAGAATCTGATTATGAAGAGCATCTCCTGCTATGGGGAAAGAAGTGAAGGGGGTTCAAAACAGAGCCCAGGGAAACACTTTCCATGTACAGGGGACAAGAAAAGTGACAGAGTAGAGGGCAAGGAGGGAGGCCGAATGGTGAGAAGAGAATCAGAGAGTAGTCCCATATACAAGAAGGTGACTCGATGTGTTGAGCACCACGAAGAGGCTAAGATGAGGGTCTTGGAGGAGGTCCTTCAGTCTGATGCCTAAATCATCCCTCTAGAAGTAAGAACGCTAAAAGTGGGAGCTTTGTCCTGGTTTCTGCTTCATCCCCAGTGCCTAGAATTCAATAAGTATTTGCTGAATGGATACATGAATTTCAGCAAAAGCAGGAGGCAGGTGGCAAGGTGGACAGAGGCCAGATTGCAATAGGTAAAGACAAGATTGGCTGGTGAGAAGGTGCAGGCCATTATATTTTAAACAGTAATTTATACATTTTTTTTTCTCATTGTAGAAAATTTAGAAAATATAGGCAAGAATAAAAAAGAGGAAACATTATAATCTCACCTTTCTTCCAAAGGCAATTGCTATTAATATTTTCATTTATTTTTTTCTAGATTTTTCCATGCATATTTCACATCGGTGAGATAAGAATGTGTATGTAATTTTGCACGCTCTTTTTTTCAGTAAACTATTCTTTAGTCAAATTACAAAAAGCAATCTTGTAATATGCATAGATAGGCATACATGCAATACAAAGAATATAAAGAAAAATTAATCTCTCGTCTCTCTCTCTCTTCCATCCAATCTGAAGTAACCGAAGTTAATAGGCAGGTATGTGTCCCTCTCCAACCTCCTCCTCTCTCATGCAAACAAATGAACACATTCCGGGAGAATTTTTATTATTTTATTTTAAACGTGAGATCAGAGTTTAGCTCATTTCTCTGCACCTTGCTTTTTCACTTAACAATCCATCAGGGACACCTTCCAGGTCAGTAGATACATATCTCACTTGTTTTTATATAAACGTATAATATTCCAGGGCATGAGTGTATCTCAATTTATTCAACCACTCCCCTGCTGGTGGCCGTTCAGGTCATGTCTCGCTTTTCTTTTGCAACAATTCAGTAAACATTATAACATGAGCTTTTCTCCCAAGAGACTGCATCTGTTCACAAACAGCATTTTAAACGGATGCACAACATTCCAGTATATAGTTATACTAGAATTAACTCAACTTTTCTCCTATTTTCCTGCTTCTGGATTTTTTTCTTTTTTTTCTGTTATAAATAAGGTTTAGTGACAGAATGCTGGTCAGCGCAGTGGAAAATGCTTTTCCATGGCCAGAGTCCAAGAACGAATGTTCACTATTGCAGCAGTCACATCCAGCTTTCATTTCAGGGGAGGGGAGGTATTGTCCATATTAGGCTGGCTGACCTCTGCGACAGGCACTGTCGGAGCTGGTTAGATAGGGCTAGAAGTCTGACTCTGTTTGGAGGTCTCCCTGAAATGAAATGTATGTTAGTGAGTTAAGAAAGTTACAGCCCAGAGCAGCTACTCCAGATTGAAATGCTAACAGAGTGGGAGCCCACGCCAAAGTGGCTAAATGTCCTTTCATGCCTATGCTGAGTTTCTTCCAAGAAAAACCTGTTCTTCACCTCTAGTGACTAGCTTGCTGCCCTGTAGATAGAAATGCTGCTAGGGACTTTCATCTTAGGGTACCTTGCTTTCTTTCTCAGTACCCAAGATGGTACCTGCCTTCTCTCACCCATGCCTCTAAGTTCATGTAGCTACCAAACCCGGTTAAAACCCATCCTGAGCTCAAGAACAATCCTGGGGAACTAGACTCTTCAGGATGTCATCCATGCATTTTGTTTTTGGATGATTTCCCTAGGATGGATTTCCAGAAGTACAGGTTACTGGATCAAAGGGTATGATCTTTCTGAGGCTTTGACTCTGAATTACCCTAATACTTTCCTTGGACCAATTACATTCTCATCAGCTATGAGTAGGAATGCTTATCTCAAAGCATATTCACCAGTGTTGTCTATCATCTTATTGAGAAGTTTTTGCCTACTTGATAGGTGCAAAAAATGCTACCTTGTTTTATTTAGCATCTCTTTATGACTCAGATTCAACATTTTTTCAAGCTTTTCCTAATGATTTTTATTCCCATTTTGGGAATTATCTGATGAACTCTGGCTCATTTTTCAAGGTGGTGTTTATTTTTTCTTACGGATTTACACATTTATGTCCTCTGCACATCATATGCAGTACATATATACATTCTGTAGTAGTTTTGGCCTTTTAATTTTATGCTGTTTGACATACAGAGGTTTCTAAATTTTATGTACTTAACTCTTCTAAGAGCTCTTAGTATTTTTCTTATCAATCAGGATTTGTCATATTTGCTGCAAATATTGTTTTCTACCTGGTTGTGTGCTTTTGCTTAAATTTTTCATGTAGATGAAAATGTTCAGTTTGTACAGGCAGTCACATTACCTCCCTTTTTCTTGGTAATATATTTATTTCCTTTTTTGATGTTTTAAAAAAAAACTTCATTCTGGCTTCTCGTCTCACTCAACGGAAAAGCCAAAGTCCTTGCTGTGTCTCAAATGGACATCCGCTGGCCCTTGCCTCCTCTCCTGTCTCTCATCCCTTTACCCCTGTGATGGGCCATGCTGCCTCCTGGCTGTTCCTGAAGCCCATCCCACACCCACCTTGGGACGCTTGCATTTGTTCAAGCTTCAGCCCAGAAAGCTCTTCTCCAAATGCTGTGTGATGCGCTCCATCACTTCTTCAGTCTGAGTCAAGTATTACCTCCTCAGAGACCACCCTAAATAAAACCCAGGCCTCTCTCCTCTCAAACTAGGTGCTCTAGGTTACTGCTTTACTTTTATCCACAGCACTTAGCATCCTTTGACAGGCATTTTCCTGTTTATTTTCTGTCTCCCCCCTGCCTGTCCCCCACTAGAATGCAACCTCCAGGAGAGCAGGAGGGAAGAAGGGGGAGGGTTGCTATTTTATTCCTGGGTCTCTCTCCAGTACGTAGACCCGTACCTACACATAGCAGATGCTCAGAGAAGAGTTGTTGGTGAATGAATGAATTCATGGATATTAACTGCCCACCCAGCTCTCTGTGCATGGAACACTCTCTCTCTAGATCTTTCACCCAGCTAACTCCAGGTGCTTTAACACTGGCCACCTCCTCCAGGAAGTCTTCTTGCAACCCTCAAGACAATAGCAAGCATTCTTCCTCTGCCTTCTCCTCTTCTCCCTAGTGAATGAATTAGTAAATTAGTGACTATCCTTGCCGTCACCTGTGGTGATATAACATGTGGCTTCTCCTCCAATAAACTCCTTCAGATTTTCTTATATCTTTAGCTCCAGCACTTCACTCATGACTTGCCCACAGCAGACGCTCAGTGCATATTTTTGAAATGAATGGATGAGTGAAATGGGTAAATTTTTTAAATAATATTCAGATAGCACCTACTAACTTCATTTGTCTATATATCATTTATTCTGGAAGTGGCTTCATGAAAAAGTTACAAAAAGTCTTGTGTTCAAATTTTGTTTTGCCACTTAATACTCTGTGGGCAATTTATGTACTCTTTAAACCTTAGTTTCAATATCTTTAAAATTAGCACCCATTTCTAGGATGTTTATACAGATTCACGTGATAATATCTGGTAAATTGCTAAATGCTCAGTACAGTCCCTAACGCACTGTAATTGATTAATAAATACCAGCTAATCTTTCAGTAAAGATTTGTATTTTTCTTTACATAGGTCCCAGTCACATCTTGTTAAAGTTATTCCCAGACATTTTATGCCTTCTTTTTTGCTCTAGTGAATGCCATTTTTCCCATTAATTTTTTCCTAGCTAGTTATTACTGATATAAAGAAAACCTATAGATTTTTTATACATTCATCTTGCATCCAACTGGGTTTCTGAACTTATTAATTCTAAAGATTTCTCAGTCGATTCCCTTGGGTGTTTTAGGTACACAACCATGTTGTCTACAAATAATGATAACTTTGAGGAGATAACTCTTTTGAGAAGTTTGGCAGGAAAATTCAATTCAATTCTGCAAATATTTATTGACTGCTAAGGTCAATTTTGGACAAATTTAGTCAGAGATGCCAGTGGGATATCCAGATGGAGATGGCCAGAAGGCAATTAGGGCTGTAGACTGGAATCTGGGAGCACAATCTGGGCTGGAGTTATGGATTTATTGGAGCCATGCAATTACTGAAACTGGCCTAAGAGGAAATGCAGAGGACAGCTGCAGATGCAAGGTAAGTCATCATGCCCACTGAAGATTCACCTGTCACATGGTGAGCCAACTGTGCACCTCAAGTCTATGACGGGACTCTGGCCCATCTCCATGCATGCCTTCTGTCGGGGGCACCTTGTCTGGACAGATGGGAAAAGCAGGGGTCAAACAGCATTTTGGCCCTCTGCAATCACCTTTTAGGAGCAGACCAGAGGCCACAGTCATAGAGATGCTAGCACTGAGCCTCATCTTAGCTCCTCTCCCCTGCTCAACATGCTTCAGCCACACCAAATAGCTCATCATCTACAAACACTCAAGGCCTTTTCAGGCCTTTACAATGCTTGGCCCTTTACCTGGAATGCCTTTTCCCTGCCTTCTCGGCCTAGTGAACCTTACTATTCCAGATTCAGTTCACATAGTACCTCCTCCGAGGAGCCTCCCCTGGGTTCCTGGGTAGCTATGTTCTCGTTCTCTCTCTCTCCCTCACTCTCTCCCTCCCTCCCTCCCTCTCTCTCTCCAACAGCTATC